GATGCTAAAGATGGAGATCAAGAGGAAGGAGAATGAGGCAAGTAGAGTTAATGAGGAAGCCGTTGAGGCAGCTAGGGCCGCCGAGAGAGAGGCTTTAATGAAGCTTGGATACGCGACGGAGGAGGCCAACAAGAACGGAAGGAGGGCTGCGCGGGTGACCGAGCAGCTAGATGCGGCGCAGGCTGCAAATTCGGAGATGGAAGCAGAGTTGAGAAGGTTAAAGGTCCAGTCGGATCAGTGGAGGAAGGCTGCTGAGGCGGCTGCTGCTATGCTCTCGACGGGGAACAATGGGAAGCTCGTCGAGAGGACAGGGTCCCTTGACAGCGCCTACAACCCGATGGACTCGCCGTACTCAGAAGACATGGATGATGACTCGCCAAAGAAGAAAAATGGAAACATGTTGAAGAAGATTGGTGTTTTATGGAAGAAGGGCCAGAAGTAGTAGTGGAAACTAAGCAGGTCACTTTCTAATTTTTCACTTCCAATTTATTTATTTTTTTGTGTCAAATGTACATTTTTTTTTCCCTAAATTTCTTTACATTTTTTTACAGGCGTTTTGGAGGATGCAAAATAAAAAAAAAAAAAAAACTAAGCTCATTTTGCAGATTGTATAGAGGAGGTGTTATGTATTTTGCTTTGGACTTGGGAGAGAAATGGCAAAGGATAGTGTATTTGGTTATCTTTTTTAGAATTGCTCCCCATCAAGGGAATTATGTGGAAACAGAAAGAAGCAGTTTTTAGTTCTTGTATTTGAGATTGTGATTTCAACAAGACTCATAATATGTGTACCACTTTTGCCAATTTCCATGGTGTATAATAATTAGATATGATGTCCTTTTCTGTTGTTTGCTTCTCTATTGTCCAAGATGGTTTTTTTATTTTTTTATTTTTTTTTATTAACATATCTAAATAAGTAGGAATAAAGTATCTTGTATTATAGTAAAACATGATCTTAATAACTTATATTTTTAATAATATTAAAATAGTACATTCAAATTTTATAAAACATCTTCTAACTACTCCGAGTCTAATTTTTTAGATGTAAAATATCATATCTACACTTCTATTTAATTAATTAAAAACTAAAATTTATGAAACTCTGAAAATATATTTTTTTAAACTTTTAATTAGAAACTTTTTTCTTATTCTCCGCCTAAAACTCAAACGAAAATAAATTTATAGCATGTTTAGTTCGTTGATTCG